ACCATCCCCTCCACCACCATCTCCTCCTCCACCACCATCCCCTCCACCATCTCCACCATCACCTCCATCATTACTACTTCTACCATCATTTTCATCACAACCAACAGCTTCACCATCTCCTTTACCACCATCACCACTTCCACCATCATTACCCCCTCCACCGCCTCCATTGCTGTCACTACCACCCCATCTGCTGAGCACTGGTCACACGCTGGCCTTATTCCTAGTGCATTTATTTTATTTATTTATTTATTTATTTATTTATTTATTTATTTATTTAGTGGAACTAGGGATTGAACTCAGGCCCTTGCGCTTGCCAGGGAAGCACTTATTCCACTGAGCCGTCTCCCCGGCCCCTCGTAGTGCTTTTAAACAGAATCTCCTTTTACAATTGCTCATGTGCATCTGGTACACTGTTCTCAATTTACCTGTGCTTTCTCCCTGTTGAACTGGTATACTATTAGTTTTTTATTTTACAGGCCTGCAGAGATTGAGACTTGGCAAGGTTTCCTGGGTCCTAGAATTTGAACCCAGGTCTCCCATATCAGGCCCAGGCTCAAGCCCCTGCTGTTTCCCAGACACCCTCTCAGCCTTCATCAGGGTCCCGTTGCTCCTGCCCACCTGTGGGAAGAGGGCTGAGCCCAGTTCCTGTGACTGACCATCTTCTGGGGGCTGCAGCTTCCCATGGTGTCTGTGGTGTCCCTGTTTATAGGCGAGCACCGCCAGGCAAGTGCAGGTATAAGCCGGTGCCGGTGAGGACCACAAGCAAGCGGATCCGCTTCAGGCCACTTGCCAGTGAGTCCAGCTCTGTGTCTCGGGCATAGCCAGTGCCTGCAGCGGTGGCGACAGCAGCGTCTGGCTGTTCCTAGACTTGGCCACTGAGCAGCAGTTATTTGGAGCTTTCTTCGTTGCTGGCACCATACTGAGTCACGGGGTGCAGCCACGTGGGGTTTAAGGTCTCCGAGCCGTCGGAAATGGGAGGAGAGGTAGCTCATGGAGAAATCAGTACAGCTCCGAGGGTCTGTGCAACAGGATGCCCAGAGCCCAGGAGACCCCAAAGGGGAGCGTTCTTCCTCAGGGTGGCGGGGGGGTGGCCCGGAAGGACTGACAGAGCAGGGCGTTATCTTCGGGAAATGCCAGGGAGCTGAGCCCCTCTGGAACGACCCTATCAAAAAGGAAGCCATCTAGGTGAGGGCAGGGCAGGGAATTTAAATATATTAATATAAAGAATTTACGTCAAAGAACTCCACGGATGTTGGGCGTGGTGGTGCCCCTCAGCTACTTGGAGGCTGAGGTTGGAAGATTGTTCCAGTCCAGCCTGGACAACATAGTGAGACTTTTTTTTTTTAAGGAGCCTGGCATGATAGAGTATGTCTGTAATCCCAGCGCTCAGGAGACTGAGACAGGAGGATTAGTGTGAATTTGAGACCAGCTTGGGCTACAAAGTGAGCTCATGGCCAGCCTCAATAGTGTAGTGAGACCTCAAAGACTAACTAACTAATAAATAGGGTCCTCCTGCAGCTGGGAGGCCCCTGGGTGGCGCTCCTTCTTTACCTCCCGGGTGTGTCACTGAGTATGTGCTTGCCTCTAGCCACCGTCCTGGACCTGATCAAGCAGCAGGCAGAGAAGGCTGCCAGGAACTCGTCCAGTGAGACCTCCGTGCCTGGTCTAGAGCCGGCTTCGGCCCAGAGAGCTGCCTCCAGGGTGCTGGCTCCTCCTGCAGGCAGCAAGAGGGCATCACAGGGACCTGGGAGCAAGAAGAAAGCCAGAGCATGGCCCCCAGGTCCCCAGGGGAAGAGCAGGAAGCACCCCCGGGCCCCCAGAGGTGGGAGGCGGTGGCTGTCACTGCAGGGGCCAGCGGGCAAGAGTCGCCCTCCACCTCTGGTCAAGGAGGCTGCAGTGACACAGGGGAGAACCGCCCACTAGGTGGAGACCACTGCTGGCTGCAGTCTTGGGAGCCCAGGAAGCTGCGGGGAGCTGGGCAGGCACAGAGGGGCTGATGCACGGCCTGGGGCGTCTTCTCCAGGGGTCCTGCTGTCCCCTGTAGGGACAAACACCTCAGTTGGCTGGGCACACTGAGAAGGCTTCTGCAGGATCACATCCCACACTGCCCCAGCCTGTGTGGCTCCTGGGGACCTCACTGGTGTCCCTGTGTTGTTGCTGAGGTACCCACGTTCTGAGATAATAAACTACCATTTACTGCAGCTGGCTTGTGTGTGGGCTTCTGGGCGGGGGAGTACCTGCCACCTCACCAGTGTGCCCAGGAACCAGCCATGCTGTCCTGGCTCCAGCGCCTACAGGCACAGGTCCAGGGTGGGCACCTGCCACCTCACCAGTGTGCCCAGGAACCAGCCATGCTTGCCCGGCTCCAGCGCCTGGAGAGGCACAGGTCCAGGGTGGGCACCTGAACGGTGCCTCTCAGATGGCCCTCTGCTCCCCCCAGGTGGAAGCTTTTGAATAGGACACATGCGGGTTCCTCCTGGACCTGGGACCCCCTTTGGCCCCTGAAACCATGACTGCGTCCTGGCACCTCTGAGGTCTGCACCCTTCCTCCTGAAGCCTCTGTCCTTGTTTTGTGTCCCTGGAGAACCTCTGCTGAGTTAAGGACAGTGAGGCCTTGTGGTCACAAGACCTGACCACAGTGACAGAGAACAGGGGACAGAACAGTGGGGTTTGGGCCAAGCCCCTCCACCTGCTGCCCACTGCCTCCTGGAGGCCCCCAAGACACCTCGACTCTGAGCCAGGCAGTGAGGACTCAGCACAGAGAAGAGGACTGCTGCCTCCAGGGGAGTGGGCGGGGGGCGGCCACAGGCCCCTGCTTGTCCTTGGCACAGGTGGCTTTAGACTAGAGCTGGCTCCAACTTTTTTCTTGAGGCAACCTGACCTCACCTCAGCTACACACCACGCTTCCTTGATTCTCCTGCTCTAAGAGGCAGAAGCCTGCTTGCTGTGCTCTGAAGATGCCTTTTCTGGTCACTGCGGTGACCCTTTGTGTTCCTCTGGCTTCTGGCCAGCTCACCACTGGGGCCTGTGAGTGCTCCAGGCTGGAGATCAGCCTCAGCGCTGGAGAAACGTGATGTTTCACTGGAGTGCCTCGCAGGACAGCACAGGGAGGCAGAGGAGTCCCACCCGGCCCCTCTACCAAGGAAGGTGGCCCAGTTTAAGATCGGCTCTGACCCCTGGACCAAACACCTGAGCTTTTCCTACCTTATTTTGCCCTGAAGTCTTTCCTCAAAACACGCAGCAAAGCGAGGGTTGGAAGTGTTTGCAGGGAATGTTCGGGATTCAGGCATGAAGCCCAAGGGCCACACTGCGGAATAAAGGGCCCAAAGTCTTCTGCGCTGGTGTGGGCTCAAGGAACATGGTAGAAGTCTGGAGGAGGGCGTGGAATGGCACCCCAAAATGCTGGGGACCAAGGAGAGGTGGCAGGCTCCTCTGTGGCAGTGTGGTGTTGATTTATGGAAGATAGCTGGTGAGGCCGGCCGGTGTCCGCAGGAGGGGCCAGGACTGGACTGACCGAAGCTCCAGGCACTGCCACGCTGCCACACAGCCTTGTGTCGTGATGTGTGCTGTTACCTGCGCTCAGTGGCTGGGCAGCGGGGCCTTCCTGACCACAGAGAGGGCTCCACGTCGGCCATGTCATGTGTGCCACAGGCTTGCCACCACTGGCCATGGTGCTGGCAGGCGTAAAAGGCCGAGCACCGGGCTGGAGAGATGGCTCAGTGGTCTAAAGCACCTACTTGAAACAAGCTTGGCAAAGCACAGGGACCGCGGTTCGATCCCCAGCACCACATGCCAGCCAGCCCCGCCCCCTGGTGGGCTGAGCTGGCCACACACACACACAATAAAAAAAAAAAAAATGTAATAAATAAAAATAAATAAATATTTAAAAAAAAATAAAAGGCCGAGCACCTGTGTGTGCACAGAGCTCACTCTTTAGAGGCCAGAGGGCACTGTGAGGCGGCGAGGGAGGGTGACGCCAGCCACGGCTGCAGGAGCCGGGAGCAGGGTGCTCAAGCATGCCGAGCCTCATGCATTTGTCCTCGCTGGCCAAGCAAGTCAAGGGTAGGCAATCAGGCCTGCAGTGTTGAGGATCTGAAACGGCTTGCAAGAGGGCTTTTGGTGTTGGTGAGTCTGGGCATTCTGGCCCGGGATGGACCTGTCTCCGGCCCAGGGCACAATTCTCAGGCTCTCTGAGCACGACTGGCACTGTCTTCCTAGCAGCCGGCAGCCCAGCCCCACAAGGGCACAGCAGCCCGCTGAGCGAGGAGGCGCCCACGGTCACCTCGGTCACCTCGAAGCTGACTCCTAAGAAGCCCCGCCCTTGCTCTCCCGAGTCAGGGAGGTGATGGATTCTCAGTTTCCGCTCAGCTGGTGCTCACTGTCTGGAGCAGAGCGTTCACCTGGAGCCCAGGCCGATGGGGGCCATTGCGTGGACCCTGTGGGGACAGGGCAGGCCTCCTTGTGGCCAGGCCAGGCACACAACCCTGCAGCTGCCCCCAATGGGAGGATGACCCCAAGGCACCCAGGCTACCCGGACAGCTCTAGGATCCACTTTAGGATGCAAGTTAAAATTAATGATGAGGATATACTGCCCGAGGACCTGCTCCCACAGGGCAGGTAGGAGAGGGCGTGGGATGTGGGCATCGCCACAGGCCATGCCACTTGCTCGCCTGCCCCGCCCACCAGCCCCACCTCGAGGATGCCGTGTGTGGGCCTGAGCTGTGGCGCGTGCGCAGCTTGTTTGTGCTTACCTTCTTTTTGTACCTTCCGCCATTTTCTCTCCAGCTCTCTTCTGCAGTTCCTCGAGCATGCCACGGCTGCACGTCAGCGGCTAGGGCTTTAAATAAATCCTACCAGAGCCACATAGTCTGGCCCAGCCTGCCTGTCTTGGGTTTGTGCTCCTCATTAAATGTTTGACTAAAAAAGGGCTGCAAGGTCAGCTCTGACCACCGAGACTCCTGGCTCGGGTGGTGGAACCTGGGGACAGGCTGTGGCAAGGCTGGAGGGCCCTGGGCCTGCGTCAAGGACGACCATGCAGTGTGAGGTGATGGAAGCCCGCCTGCGGTGTTTGTGACCACAGGACGAGGGACTGCATGCAACTTGCTCATGCAGGCGTGGGCTGGACGAGAAGACAAGCGGAAATCGTGGCCACCTCTTGAAAACCTTCCAGGTGGAGCACTGTGCTGCACGCCTGTAAGCCCAGCACTCTGCGAGGCTGAGGCAGGAGGGCTCAAGTTCAATTCCAGCCTGGGCAGCTTAGCAGCAGAGGGAGACCCAGTTTAAAAATGAAAAATAAACAAAGGCTGCGCATATAGCTCAGTGTGAAGGCCCTGGGTCCAACCCTCTGAACCACCACCAGCACCACCATCAGGTAACCGAAAGAAACCCCTCCAGCCCTGTTTCTAGGACACAGTGGATCAACTTGGTGCTTACCAGGGAGTTCCGGGTGTGCTTATTCTGTGGAGTAAGTTTCTGATTGCACTTCATCAGTTCTTTTATGTGTTGCTGCGTGCTGGGGAGCTGGTGGACAGGGAATCTGCGTGCTCCTCCTCCTGGGTCTGCTTTGGACCTGGTCATTGTGCCTTTGGCTGCAGGAAGCCATTTACTGGGGGAGTGGGCTCAGCCCGCATCCCCGAGGGAGAGAGAGGGGTGAGAGACTGTGGCTAGGGGCTCCCAGGCTCCCCCTAGGGCTCAGGGCTCTGCTCTTCCTCCTTCCTCAGGGACCCTGTCCTGCAGGGCCAGTCCCATCCCTCCCCGCGACCTCTTGTCCCAGGATGCAGAGCCTGGGGAGAGGAACTTGCACCCCAGGCCTGTCACCCTCCTCCCGAGTGCAGCAGGTGGGGCGTCAGTCCCAGCAAGGCCGTTCTTGCTCATGACGCCCTTCAGAGCACTGTGGCCCCAGGGTCTGGGGGCCGGACTCGCCCTGGGGTCCGGAGAGCCTGGTTTGATTGTGCCAGCAGCCAAGGGACTTCCCATCCCTGAACTGCAGCTTTTGCCTGGGAAGAGTAGGCGTCTCCTTAGAGCAGGTTGTGAAAATTAGGGTGAGGCTGCTGGTCTTAGTAGACCGGCGCCGAGTCAGTCAGGGTGATGGGCAGTTTGCGTGTTTTAGATGGCAGCAGGGGATGCTCCTCCCCTTCCTCGTCCTCCTCTTCCTCTTCTTCCCATCCTCCCTCTCCTCTTCTACCCTGTGTACTCCACTTCTGTATAAATGGTTCTCGCTGGGGCCCGTTCTGCTCCTGTGATGTGGGGAGGGGACATGGGGGTATGTATTGGTCAGGGTTTTACTTAGAGGAACAGATATAATATAAGGAACAGATATTAACTTAAGATAGACATGTGGGGCCGGGGAGATGGCTCAGTGGAATAAGTGCTTCTCTGGCAAGCACAAGGGCCTGAGTTCAATCCCCGGTTCCACAAAAAAAAAAAAAAGATATACAATGTATAAGGAATTACAAGAGTGGCTTAGGACAGTCAGCCATCAGCTGCAGAGTCAGATGGGGGAGCATGCAGAGGGCGTCTGCACACCCCAGAGTGAGGAGTGCAGTCCCAAGGTCTGAAGCTCACTGCTGTGCTCCGAGCAAGTCTCTGTTCACCAGCTAATGGGTCTGCGACAGAAGACGGAAGAGCCTGTGCCGGGAGGTGAAGAGTCTGCACTGGGGGAAGAAGGATCCAAGCCGGAGGCCGAGGAGTCTGCGCTGCAAGCCAGGCGATGAAGTCGCGAAGACCGAAGTTCCTCTGACAAAGTGGAACATCAACTACTTCCTCAGCCCCTTTACATGGTCTCGTTGTGCTGAGTACAGGTTCTGGGGAAGAACCAATTGTGCCCCAGGGCGGGACCCCCACCAGCCAGAACTGCACTGTGCAGTCATCCGACCAAGTCGGGTGAGGAAAGTGTTGTCTCCAAGATCCAAATAGGCCCACTAGGTGCTGTGTCTCCTTTTTGGTCACAGGGGGAGCCAGATGCAACAACTTATCTTTTACCTCAGAGGGAATATCTCTACATGCTCCACACCACTGGGCTCCTGGAAACTTCACTGAGGTAGAAGGACCTGGAATTTCTGTGGGATTTCTCTCCCATCCCCTGGCTCTCAAATGCTGTACTAACAAATCCAAGGTGGTTGCCACCTCCTGCTCATGAGGCCCAATCAGCATGACATC